ATTTACTGGGTTATATAAACGAACAGACGCTACATGTAGTCAAATCCGATGGCTACAATTCGTAGCATACCAGTATTGCGAAATGTTTAGCAAATTCAACTTAGCAAGTGCAACTTTAGGATAACGTTAACTGTGAACTGCTTGACAGCACCAAAATAAAAACTACCGGTAGTACACAAACCTGACCTTGTCTGCACAACTCACTGAGTTCATGATTAAAATGGTGCAGCGCTACTATTCGAGCACTTTGATAACTTAAAACACGACAAGTAAAATCTACAGATCGCAGGTTGCTTGAGTCGTAAAATCTAACAGTAAAATCGAACGTCAACTTTCAAATCTAACGTGGTGGCACCGAATCTGAGACCGTTGCAATGCTCAGTAGGGAGCCTAATCGTGGCCACTAAGTATTTGCGCATGGATGTCATACCAGTGTAGTATCAAGAATAAATTAGTTAGAAATCTGCACACGTCAACACAATATTAACACTAACATGGTCACAGCCAACGCCTAGCTAACAAGTTCCACGTAGTTGGGACCACCATCACACTCAATTTAAACTAGTAAAGGTGGTAGGAATCCACAAGCTAAGTAAAAACTAAACATCGTATGCCCACCAAGCAGAACTTACCGATACTAGTATTAAACATATCTATTAACGTGTTAAGCCCAAACTGTACTTCGACACAGGGGCAAACTAAACAGGCAAATGGACTCCACTTATAGTCAATCGAGTGCCCTCCCCAAGGTCAGCTTTCAATGCTTATCATACTACTGTAAGCCTATCTACTCCATAGTCGAATGTGGCTACCACCATATATTCTACAGGTAGTACAGGTAGTAATGACTCCTGCTCTATTAAGGGTTAAGGGTTCACTCTAGGGCGGCAAACATGTGAGCTTACCGGTACTAGTACTGTACTTCCACAGCACGGTCCTACACTATGTAGGTGTCCCCAATTGGTTGCCACGAATCTTGTACTATAACAGTTAAATACCATTGTAGAGCAAGGTGCATCGTTAGTGTGTCGGTTTGATTCCAAGTTGCAGACGACATAGTCGGCGTTTCGAGCCTAGCTTCGACCATTTCTTTTTGCCATAATTATACTCTGGTTGTTTTTGTGACCCTCCTAATTTTGATTTGTTTGTATAAAACAGTTTTATACCTATAAAATTGAATTCGAAAGGTATTGGCCACTTTGCTGTTTAGGGTATTTACAATCGACCTACAGTATGATCCGGTTGATGGAATGAAACATACATTTTTACCTTGATTTTTAATATATAGTTCTACATCATTGCAAGTTGGTTTACGCGTTCTCTTTATACCAGCAAATTCTTCGGCGAGGTGGCCAAGGAATGGCCGAGATATAGTAGTTTGTCGCGAGATGTTCGACACCGACGTTGGCAAGTCGGTCTTTCGCTATGTATGTGGGACTGGTACCACCGCTGAGGGCATCCCTCAGCGGTGACAACAGTCCACGAATGAGTGGTTTTGGCCAAGGAATGGCCGAGATGTAGTAGTTTGTATGTGTCGAGGGCATCCCTCAGTGATGGCACTAGGCCATGAATACGGATGGGTCGAGGTAGAGTAATCCAATAATCCAACATGTATCTATATTTGACGCATGGCCAAAATCATGTGGGCTTCACGCTTACTGCGTAGTAACTTGTAGAGCAAGCTGTTGGATTATTTGCGCGGTCTACAGGCAACTATTTATGACTGGAAATTGTACCACGTGCAAACCGTCCAAATTGGCGTACGCAGATTGAAACACGTGCAAATATACCACCTAAATTTAACCACGTGCATGCACGCCAAAATCCACGTGCAAAAATTCCACACCCGTAAACTTATCACGGTATCACGGCAGCATCGACCGTAGGCGAATGCGCTATCGGCCGCAACTGACCTACGCCGCAAGAGTCATCACCACATAAGTCATAAGCTATTGACTGCGGCGTACATACCGTGCCAGGGCCGCCACAACTGCAGCTCGACCTATGGCGTCACCGACCCTGAGGCTTCGCTGCTCCGTGTTTATGCACCGATGTCTCTATCCGGCCACTACAACCGGATACTGACTCCAGCAAATCCACAAGTCCATCAAATCTGTGTGACTTTTACTGGAATCAGCAAAGTACTGAACCGGATACTGGTGCGGTGCGAAAATATTTCAGTAAATTTTCAGTAAATCAGCACCCAGATTTACTGATTGGCCAATTTACAGGGCGCGGTTACAGCAGAAGTACCAATCTTTTAGCCACGTAAAACCGACACCAAAACAAGTGCAAAGCACAATACGTGGAAACTGTATTAATAAATACTTGGAGCCACTTCTTTATTTGCTAAAAATATCTCTTGGAACAGGCCCTAATAAATGAAAATGAAATGAAATGTTTTTTTACTCGTCCATTATTGCGACGACTTGGAACACGACGAGAGCTTGGCTTGATTTCTACGCTTAGGCCCATTGAACCTTCCAACAGCATGTTGCGCTGACACCCAAGCGTTGTTGTGTTTGTGTGCAAAGTACCTCTGGATTCGCAGAATTCTATCCAATCAAAAGCAAGTTGACCAAAATGCTGACCAATCCACGTCGAGGTCGAACGGTGGTTGGCCACTGCAGCTTGCGTTCCTCTCATCATCATAACAAGCAAGTAGTTGGTCATGGACAAGGATCTGTTTGGGAAGAAGGGCAAGGACCACCGCAAAAGCAAGAGCGGGGCCAAGGTGAACAAGAAGAAGAAAAAGAACCAGGAGCAGCTGGCCGCCGCAGACAAGAACGCTAAGCACAACCCCAAGGCGTTTGGCGTGGCCAAGATTGGCCGCGCCAAGCGCACGATCCAGCGTAACTTAGACAAGGCCCATCAGAAAGAGTATGTGCCGAATGTCAACCGAGTCGAAGACACGCCGCCGCCGACATGTGTGGTCGTCATGGGTCCGCCCGGCAGCGGCAAGTCGACGCTCATCCGATCGCTCGTGAAACGGTACACCCGCCACAACATTGGCGACATCAAGGGTCCCATCACGGTGATTGCTGGCAAGGACAAACGCATCACGTTCTTTGAATGCCCCAACGACCTCAATGCCATGGTGGTATGTTATTCTCGTCGGTGAGTTTCCATTGATGGGTGTTTAGGACTTGGCGAAAATCGCCGACTTGGTGCTGCTGATGGTGGACGCGTCATTTGGGTTTGAAATGGAAACTTTCGAGTTCCTCAATATCCTCCAGGTATGGCTATCTGTCCCTATCTAACAACGTCTTAACCGTTTGGGGCGCCATGTTGAATCTTCAATCTCGTGGTCGTCATAGGTGGCCGGGTTCCCCAAAGTGATGGGAATTCTCACCAACTTGGACAAATTCAAAAATAACAAGAGTCTCCGGACGACAAAAAAGCGCCTCAAGAGCCGCTTCTGGACTGAAATCTACCAAGGCGCCAAGTTGTTTTACTTTTCCGGGATTGTCTCCAACAAGGTAGGTACACATTGATGGATTGTTTGTTAATTAACTGTTCATATATATGTGACAAGTGCCATCAGTAGCACACTATTTAAAGGTTAACACTGAGCGTGCGTGCAATCCGATTGGCTCGATTCTTTTAGCAACCACCCAATGAATCATCCGTTTTTTCTTCATGTTTTGCAATCCTCTAATATAATATCGTTTTGCCATGTATTAGTACCCCAAGGGCGAAATCAACAACATGGTGCTGTACATTTCCCGCATGAAGTATCGCCCGCTAACATGGCGCAACTCGCATCCGTACTTGCTCGTCGATCGCTTCGAAGACGTGACACATCCCGACGTGATCCAGCAAAATGCCGTGGCCGACCGCAAGATCACGCTCTACGGGTACCTTCGGGGCACGCATTTGAAGCCAGGGATGAAGATCCACGTGGCAGGCGCGGGGGATTTCTTCATGGCGTCTGTGACGTCGCTGCCGGACCCGTGCCCGCTGCCGTCAAGAGTGAACGAAGTGACCAAGAAGCACCTGTCGGACAAGGACATTATGCTATACGCCCCCATGTCCGAGTACGTTGTTGTTATTGTCCTTATTGTTCGAGTTGAAGTCCCTAACTGGCGGTTGTGTTCTAGTGTGGGCAATATTACATTTGACAAGGATGCTGTGTACATCAATTTGGGTCACATCAACCACTCGAAGCGCGAGACGCTGGATGCGGACGAAGACAACACCGATGACGATAACGAAAAGAACAAGAACGGATACACCCGAGGCAAGGGCGGAGAAGGCACGGATATGGTCCAGCACTTGCAAGCGATCGAGTCTGGACTTGGTATTGACGAACGATTGAAAGGCGCGACGTTGAGCTTATTTAAGCACACGGCGGCGATTCGCGCTGATGAATTGGACTCGGACGATGATCCAGACAATGCAAGTGACGACGACGACAGTAGTGACGATGACGACAGCGGTGACGATGACGACAGCGGTGACGATGACGAAGCGTCGCGAGGCCGCCAAGGCACGACGAAACCGTCCGAACAACTTGAACGCGATGCCACGGGGCGCGTCCGCCGGCGCGCCATTTTCAATGTGACCGATGCCAACGAGAATGAAGAAACAATGGAGACCCTTGGGGATGATGACGACGACAGCAATGATGACGACGACAGCAATGATGACGAAAGCGATGACGAAGGAGATGCAGTGCCGGCGGCGGAATCGTCGCAGATGCGATGGAAAGACAACTTGGTCAACCGAGCGGCCAAGAATTTTCTCGAGCGAGAAGAACAAGACATCAACTTGATGGAATTGGTGTACGGCAACCCCGGCAAGCTGCACGTAGCGGACGCGAGCAAGGGGCAGCGGGGCCACGACAGCGACGACGACGACTTCTTTACGCTCAAATCAAGCAAGAAAGGCAACACCAACAACGGTCTCGCGGCACAGGTATATGTACCTACCTATGCCAAACAATAGGCTGACAAAATGACTCGTAGGACGACGAAAACGCTTTGGATTGCTCCAAGTTTCGACCGGCGCGCACTGACATGAAGGCGTGGGACATGCCAGACCTCCTCGAGAGTCTCCGCAACAAGTTTGTCACGGGCAACTGGGAGAAAAAGCGCGAGGGAGATGAAGAAGAAGATGGGAGTGACGGGTCTGACGTCGATGGGTCGTTTGAGGACCTGGAAACGGGCACCGTGCATGTGGGCAAGGCAGACGAAGAGTCGCCAGAGGCCATGCGCAAACGTTTGGGTGATGAAAAAGCCAAAAAACGAGCGACTTTGGACGATTTAGATGACGACAAGAACGACGACGACATTGACGACGAGATGACGGAGATCATGGTCGAAGCGAAAAGGTTGCAGGAAACGCAGGTACAACTATTAATATCGTGTGCATCCTTTTTTTTCTTTTTTTATTCAAAGTATGCTTCTTTATATATATATTCCTTTTTTTATCAAAACTTAAGTGTTTATATATTTTGTAGAGTCGTCTCCGATGTCTCGTTTTTATTGTTCAATTATGTTGTAATTTTCTTGTAGAGCCAACATTCATGGTTTGAATTCTGCTTTATGTATTGTTGATATATATATTTCTCTCTCTCATATGTATATACAAATATATTCTCCATCTTAGGCCCTTCGCAACGCCGAAGAGTTTGGCAACGAAGGCGAAAACACGCGGTTGCAGCTGGAAGGGTTTCGGAACGGCTTGTACGTTCGCATCGAGCTGCATGGCGTGCCTGCCGAGTTCGTCACGGGGGCACTGCCGACGCTGCCCATCCTCGTGGGGGGTCTCTTGCCTCATGAGCATGCGTTGGGTCTGATGCGGCTCCGCATTAAGAAGCATCGCTGGCATCGCAAAATTCTCAAAACCAACGACCCGCTCGTGTTTTCCATCGGATGGCGGCGGTTCCAGTCGCTGCCGCTGTTTAGCATTGAAGACACCAACGACCGGCATCGTTTTCTCAAGTACACAAAATACAACTCGTGATTTTTTTGTAGGGATTTCATATTTTTTTTAATTTTTTTTTGTCTAGGTACACCCCCGAACACATGCATTGTGGCGCGACCATCTACGCGCCGATTTGCCCGCCCAACACGGGGGTCCTGGCATTCCAAAACATGTCCAACTCGGTCGATGGCTTCCGTGTGAGTGCCACAGGCGTCGTGCTCGAGCTCGACCACACGTTTCACGTGATGAAAAAGCTCAAATTGATTGGCCACCCGACGAAAATTCACAAAAATACGGCGTTTGTGCGAGGTACGACAAAAGAACTATTTTTATTTTTTTTCAAAAATAAATATTATACTCATATTTTTTGGTTTTATTGTTGAAATGTTGTAGGCATGTTCAATTCCGAGCTCGAAGTGGCGAAATTTGAAGGCGCGAGCCTGCGCACCGTGAGTGGCATCCGCGGGCAGGTGAAGAAGGCGCAGCGCGGGGACAAGGGCGACTTCCGAGCTACGTTTGAAGACAAGATCCTCAAGTCCGACATCATCTTTTGCCGGACGTGGGTGCCCGTGGAACCCAAGCTCCTGTACAACCCCGTGACGTCGCTGCTCCAGTCCAACTGGCGCGCCATGCGAACCATGCGGGAGTTGCGCGCGGCCAACAAGCTTGCAATTCCAGTCAACCCTGACTCGGTGTACAAGGTATAGATATTTTCGCGTTTTCTAAATTTTGTTGTCTTTTTGCTCACATTTGTTTGAGTAGCCGATTGTCCGGCCAGAACGCCACTTTAATGCGCTCAAAGTGCCTGCGAAATTGCAAGCTAAGCTTCCATTTGCGAGCAAACCAAAATTGGACAAGAAGAAATCGTACGTTTATATATTTGGCATATATATGTTTGGTACATGAATATTTGCCATATATATATATTGATGGGATATATATGAGATATATATGTATATTTGGGATATAAATACTTGGCATATATATATTTGGTCATATAAATATTTGGCATATATATACTCATGGGATATATATATATATACCGGTATATCTATTTGGGATATATTTATATATAGATATACCTATTTGGGATGTATCTGTGTATATAATATATATACCTATTTGCGTGTATCTATGTATTGACGGGAACGAATGGTGTAGAAGCACGTCGTATGCCGTCAAGCGCGCGGTGGTGCTCGAGCCCGAAGAACGTAAAAAGTACACGCTGCTCCAGCAAGTCAACACCCTTCGCCGCGACAAGCAGACGATCCGCCAGGCCAAAAACCAGGCGCGGACGGACGCCAGCAACAAGCGCAAGGCGCAGGAGGACAAGCAGTTCGAAGCCGTGCATCGCGCCGAGAAGAAGGCCAAGTATCGCGCGGCAGGCAAAGACGCCAAGTACAAGGCCTCCAAGCACGCTTAGTTAAGAGTTTTCATTAACAATATCCAATATACAACCACAGCCAATTCTATAGTGTACTGTATGTAGAATGTATGAGATACAAGTACAGTTTGGGTTGTCCACAAACATCATCGCACTCACGTAAAGCTCGAGGACGTGACTGGCTGTTGAAAGCTCATTCCTGAACTAAGTAATCAACTTTCAACAATTACTATTATATTGTCAAGTCGATTATTCGAAATTGGAGTGGGGTATACTAGTACAGTATTGTGAATTCGCGATATAGGTACGTTTAGCAAGTGCGAAATGTGAATATGGTCACTTTGCGGACACCGTTCGGACAATTTCAGTCGGACATATGTACTTGATCACTTTGCGACACCTTTCAGTCGGACATACTTGACATTTGTATTGGACTTAAGGGGAACATATTTTGTCCGAACGAATATGTTCGGATATACTTGTGTATTGTATACACCCGCATAAGAACGATCAGCTTTTCAGTAGCGAGCGACGACATAGCATCCACCGCAGCGTAGCGGAGGTCGTGTGTATAATTTTGTGCAGGCGGTGCCTTGGCGAGGAGTGAGCTCCAATCGTGCACTTCACCGAATGTCCAATCGATTCCTCTTGTCAGGAAAAGCGGCAGGTAGGCCGCAGGCCGTGCCGCTACCCGGACAAGTCCTGTGGTACAACTATTCGCATTTAATGCGTAAATTCGGTTAAGTGCGTGTCCGAAGCACATATCAAGCAAATATTTGTCCGAGTCGTTCCTGTTCCAAGTAGATATTTTTAGAAATCGAAAAAATGGTTCCAAGTACAGTTTCCTACTATTAATTCCATTAATATCGATTTTTTACGCAAGGCACTACGGTATACCAAAAGTAGGAAAAAAGCTCCTTGACATCTTTTTCTAAATTGTGCAATCGATTTTGATTGGTTCATGCTATTTCTGAAAACTACTGGGAACAAAAATAGATTTGACCTTATACTCCGAATAAGGTCAAATCTATTTTTGAAAATACTAATCTGTTGTGTTGTGCCTTGTAGTTGGAGTTTATTTTGATACAGTAATCGTGAAGAAAAATGGTTGGCAAATGTACACTGTATGTAGCCATGTTTATGAAGCAAACCGTCGTTTTCTGAACGTTCAAGTACAGTACCAGTACTGTACATACAGTACACGCGATGAAAAGGTACATCGCACGTGGTGGGTGGTCCAAACCATTCAAGCAACGCATTAGACTCGTCTTATGATCTGTACATTGTGTAGTCGCAGCAGGGCTACGGTACATATGTAGTACTCCTTGTGAGAAAGCGAAGTGCAAAGTGAACTCGACTAACTGTGCGTGAATTCGAAAATGCGACAACCCAAAACCGCCCCGAATAAAATCACTTTTCCTGCAACATCCATACAAACGCCAAGTGTAGCATTTTTATTTTCAACCCAAAAACAAAAGAGTGTCGGATTGTATTATTCGACATAGCGTCGCCAGAATCAAATTTTGGAACGGCACCGAATGAAGCTGTCTAGCTTGACAAGGCGATGCAGATCGTGGCGCGAGCTCAAGGCACATGCGGTCATTGAGGTCAAGGTCCTCCTCTTGGAATGGAAGGTCGTACTCTTCGGCTTGGCGTGGCAATGTACGTCCCAGTCCCCGCCCTCTCGTCGTAGCTTGACACTTGCTTGTTGATCGTAGACATCCACAACATCTTTCACAACATTGCGTACTGGATGCAGACCAAGCTGTCTGTGGCTCAGCGCGTGCCTCTCTACGACCTTGGCTTTGAGCTGTTGCCCGAACTCTCGTATGTTTTCCTTACTCCGTTCGCATCAAGCAGTCACCTTTTCGTCTAGGGAATCCGCGTCGCACGTGTCCGAGTACTTGGTCTTTGGTGGGATCTTTGGGCCGAGCATTGTCCTCTTTGTGAGCGTTCTGTTCATTAAAGCATCGTCGACAACGTCGTCGTCATCGCCGCCTCGGTTCTTTGCACTCATTTTCAAGCGTGTGCTACTTCAAACTGCGCTCTGCTTGGTACTTACACTCCTCCCCGACTCCATCGATTATATATCCTCTATCTCTCACACACACACGATAATATGCAGATGCTTCGGTGCATTTCGTTCATGGTGACGTCCCTTCCTGGCCCAGCGTCGCACTGCCGGCCCCTGTACAACCAAACATGCTTGGATGCATTTCCAAGCGACCCAACGGCGTCCTATCGCTGTGTCGTCGGTAACCCCGACTTCCAGCCGCCCATGACTGTCGGCTCTATCCTGGGCCATGTGGACGCGCTCAACGGGTGCGGCGACCTCATGTTTAGCTCGCACACGACGTACACAATGTCAATGATCTTGGCCGTGTGGAAGTACTGGGGCAGCGTGCCGGTGCTGGTGGTGATGCTCGTGTTGCAGGTGGTGACGGCCTTCTTCATCGTAGCCGCCAGAAAGCACTACTCGCTCGACGTGATCTCAGCATTGTATGTCGTGCCCATGGTGTGGTTCATGCTCGAAGCATATCACAAGGATCTAAACCACAAGGATGCCGTGGTTACGCGCGAAGCGATGCGCAGTGCCTACGGAGTGGACATCCCAGACGAGATCTCCGCCGACTCCAACCTAGCCACCCTTGTGAACGACGACTCGTCTGCATTTCGGCCAACCCTCACCCCCTTGGCTATTCCATAAGACATACTAGTAACCACTTTAGAAACAACAGCAATCACAATAGATGATGTGTATCACCATTCATGTGCACGACCATAAAATGCGTTTTGAGATTGGCCAGTCATACAGTACTTAGTGTATGCGATATTAATACTAGGCATTCCTCCTAAACGTTGAAATACATATACTTGTTCGTGCTGTAAACCTCATTTTACAGAACATAACTTACTGTAGAGTATTTGGTGTACGTACCTAGTATCATTGCACGATGCAATTCAAGTTGAACAAATTAGCAAAATCACTCTAATAATAGAGTGATTTTGCTATATATTATTTCAACTGTATAATTATACTACAGTACAGTGCGAGAATGTTGAATTATATACTAGTACTGGTAATAATTATATTCACGTTTTTTATTTCACGGTGCAGATGAACGACAAATAGTAGAGTATTTGATTGACACCGTGATTTGTTGTAACAATGGGATCGAGGGATTATTCCTCCTGGATCATCGCATTTTCAAGTGCAATGTGGCTGATGGCACAAGTCCTGCTGTCTCGACAGTTTGCAGTTCATTCTCGTACGCCTGAGTCAAAACACAATACTATTATTTATCATTCGCCCATGTATTTGATATAACGTTATTGGCAAAGTCAGTACTACCTTGGATGGAAAACTCGACGCCATGTCAAATGTATCCAAGCAATGGCCGCTACCGTCGAAACCACAGTGTCAAAACATGGGGTTGGCGAACCTTAATATATAACGTGAACCTCTCCGTGGCGATATATTCCTTCACTTGGTGCAATGTGATCGTATAGGGCACATGCAGTTGAATGGTCTGCGCGCCTCTCCACATCCGAATGCCCAGCGTGGCGACTTTGGCATCTAGTAATAACCAGCAGCAAAACAATGAGCTTACGTGATGCCTCTGAATTGGTAGTGGACCTTCGCCAGGCACGCAAACAACTCGGCATTCCACGGGTATGTCCACTGGAGGCAAAATCAATTGGCCAATCTCTTGTCGGATCGAATGAATGTGCCCGTGAACAATTGTCGACGCAGGCAGTTGGCTCAAGAACGTTTCAGTAGACAATTGCAGCTGCATTCCAATTAGCGCAAAACAGGTGGTGGCGACATATTACCAAGGGGTGTCCAACGTCCGCTAGCCCACGCGTCTACAAAGAAAACCAAAAGTTTCAAGTTATTACGAATTAGTACTAGTTAAAGGGCAATTCTTATACCGGTACGTTGCTGGCTCGCTGGCCATACATCGCATGCCCAGGTGGGATGATAAAACTCTCGTGGCGCTTGTCATATGTCATGAAACGGATCTACCGTAGCCGTAATAACGATCCCCTCCGTTCGTCGTACATACACCGTCAGGGTATCGATCTTGAAACTCGAGAGGAAAGTAGCCATCCAGAATATCCTAAAAATAACCAATCAATAGTACACTCAATCGAGATAAGACAGCAGTGTAATTAGGAGTTACATGGCCCGTGCATCAGCATCATGCCGTCTCGAAACAACGTCAACGGCATCGCGTCGGGCTTTTCTTGAAATCGATGCACCTGACCGCGAATATTAGTAATTGTGAATGACGGGGCTAGTTGTTGGAATACATGTATATATATATATATATACTACGTAATTGTGGGTATTGTCTTGTATAACCTGCAACCAGGACGAGGACGTGAGTTGCATGTGGAAATAATCGACGACAACGCACGTACTGTGACGGCGGTTTCACGTGCTATGGTGGCATTATTCAACTGCTGAATTCGAGCCAAGATTGTATCGAAATAGACGACCTGCTACCAAACATGGGATTGTTTATAATGTGAAACATGCATGTAGAACGTACCTCGTCGGACTCGGTTGCAGAAGATTCAGTTTGGTCATGCTTCCCTCGAGAAGGGCGCGTTGTAGAGGTCCACATGAGACCATGGTCGCTCAAGAATGAGGTCATGTCCGCTATCTGCTTTTCGTAACGGACTGCTGCCGCTTGATGGTCTGCACACCATCCACGCGGAGCCTACCAGATCGTGTATAAACTGAGGGCAAATGATTTTTAGCAATACGATCACTCACCACAGCTTGGTTCAGTTGGGCCTTGAGGTTGTCAATTTCATGTTGTTTGGACTGGAGGTCTATGGTTTGGGCGCGGAGCTGTGCTTTGACCACACGCAAGCGATGTGCCATACTTGTGAGGAGTGATGGCTCGACAGGAGCTTGCATTGGAATGGAAGGAGCGTCGCGTAGTATCTGTGTTGACAGGGTTACTTGTAGCAGCGCCGGCAAATAAATACTTGGTCTGTGATGAGTTTTTCTGTATCCACAACCTGCGCCAGCTTCCCTTGGGTCGATTGGACCAGCTTCGAGATGCTGGACATTATGGTGTTAGCAGTGTTCATGCATTACCATGCCTCTCACCTTGTACGATTTGGGTGCATGGCTTCAAATGCTACATGTACATCGGCGGTTTCGTGCATGTGGCAGTTACAGAATAGAGGTGTTCAGTTTTGGCCAATCAAAACTAGTTGACCGTACAGGAATACTACTGCGCAACCTGATATAAGTGGTCGAAATACCTCGTTCTCTCTCGCTCGACATATCTGTCCATACAAACCTCAACATGTTGGGTATATAGTCGTTCAGAAAGTGTACCCAATTAGTGCTTACCCACCCACGTAGTATCAATCAGTTTAAAGTGTACCAATGTTCCAATTCGTCGAGCTAATTTCAGTACTATCCTGGCCAAGGAACGCTAACGCATGTATAGAGAGATACTGAGTAGGAGTACCCCCCTCTTTGGCTTGAGCTGCTGTCGAAAGCCATCGATGTTGACGGAGACAAATATTTGGCCAATTGGCAGGATCGCCAAGAAGTGTGATTCTCTTTGAAACTTCGCTTTTTACTTCGAAGCCGTGGCATCCCCACCAGTCAGTCACATACTCAAGTGGAAGTTGTATTCTATATTTTCAAACTTCGAGTTTGAATCGCACTTTGGGGCATAAAAATTAAAACATTGCAACATTTACACTGGATAATTGTATGGAAGAATTATATTTCACAACGCCGCGAATCTCCGGGGACTTTTGCATCAGCAGCAGGAGCGTCAAGTCGTCGCTGCTGCCGCCGCCGCCGCCGCTGTCTCGTCCGTCCACAGGTGGTGGACTGCTGGTTGAGAGTCTACTAGATTGAAGTCGCGGCCTCGTACAGTCCCATCGTCGATGAAGTTTGGCAAAGTGCTCCAGCAGTCGATCGAACTGTCGTCCACCGATTGGGAACACTCGTGGGTTAACTACAAGCAGCTCAAGCGTATCATCAAGGACTGTGCCCACGTGTCCAAGCATGACAAACTCAAGAAAGAGAAACTCGAAGCGAACAAGCTTCAAAATGGAAACAATGACACCATACGTACGTCTTCCCAGGTCGTCGTCGCCGGCCCTCACCATCATCATGTGCATGTCCAGGCCAATCCCCCGACGAACTCAACTTCTTCCGCACCGTGCGGGCGGAAATGGCCAAAATTACACAGCTCTTCATGAAGGAACAAAGCAGGTACGGCGTGTCCGTTGCCGAGATCGACGCCGAGTTCAAACTGGTCCAAGTAAGTGTTGACCGCGTTGTCTCCATATTGATCACGTCCACTACCTACGTAGGCCGAGCTCGACACGAACCAAGCTACGAAGACGAGCATCATGGGGGGCTGCGTCTCTCTTTTCAAGGAAATGCTCCTCCTCGAGAACTTTGCCTTGATCAACTATTGCGGTATCTCCAAGGTCGACTAATATATATATATATATATATAACTCATGTGGGTTATTATTTGTATGGTTAGATCCTCAAAAAGCATGACAAATGGACAGGGTACAACACCCGCAGCAAGTTTGTCGAGTCGGTGCTGAATAAGCAGCCGTTCGCGGCGTACTCGGCGCTCCTGTCCATGATCAACTGTGTGGAGCAAATATTTATGAAAGCCACGGGCTCGACGATTGTCCAGCACGACACGACCGCCGACAGCTCCCGGACGGGGGACCGCGCCGTCGAGGTGCAGTGCGGGTACTCGATGCTGCAGCTCAATGCCGACAACGCCAAGCAGACCACGCCCGCCGCCGCCGCTACATTATCATGTCCAGCAGATCCAACCGACATGCCACTCAAGCGACCAGTTAGCCTTCACGACCTATCCCTGCTGCGGGACGAAGGCTTTCGATTCAAACGCACAGAGGAAGAGACTCTGTCCCCCGTCAACTCGTGCCCGTCCGACGACGGCTACGATGCCGCGTACGATGCATGTGAAGAGGACGCGCTGCCGCCGCCGCGTCGTCGAAGCAAGCGACCCAGGGAAACCGATCCGAACGTGCCAGTGACGGCAGCAGCAGGCAGGAAGAAGATGCATGTATCCACGATATTGAATTGAAACCCCTTGTGTTGCTTGGCAATGAACCAATACACATATGTACACGACCATCGATATATCGATTTCAAAAGAAGTAAAGCAGCGGGTAGTTAGTATGGACGAGTAGTTAGTAGTTGTTACGCATAGAATCGGCCAACGAGAAAGAACAGCACCGCGCACACCAGCACGTGAAAGAACGTGATGGGCTACACATACAGCCCATGCAAAGCAGCATATATCATCATATCTCGATGGATGGACGGACATACCTTGGTGGCGGGGGCTGGTGCCGACACTGCGTCCGGGTGGCGCGGAGTCGATGCGTCGGCGTCGGCAGTCGTCGTCCTTCGTTGCCGCAACGTGCCCATTTCCGTCGTCTGCCGCTTGAGTCGCGTCTGCTCGGCGGTGAGTTTTTGATTCTGTTGGCGGAATTTGTCCAAGTCGTTGATCAACGTATCGCGTTGCGCAGTCAGTTGCACGGTGAATGCCACCAGCTAATGCAACGTCAGAAGCAGGACGAAGACGCTGTGGTGGGAAGACCTATGTACCTCGTCGTACTTCTTGCGAAGGACCGCCATTTCGGACGCCAGTTCCAACGTGCGCGCGGCCGCGTCGTCGGTCGGTCCGGACGCGTACGATGCAGTGGCAAAGTTGGAGCGGCCGTTGGACGAGCTACTACCATAGCTGGTCGGGGGATGGACGCTGCTAGTGTTGCTGGACGCAGCGCCGTCGGTGGGAGAGTTGTCGAGCAACGCGTTGCTCAGTTGCTGGGGCGTGGACAAGTCGTTGCTGCTGCCGCCGCCGATGGTCCCTTCGGTGAAACGGCAGCGCAGTTTCTTATTGCTGATTTGAGCCTTCTCCGCTTGGTTCCACAGGGACGTCAGGTCGTCGTTAACTTCCTTCGATGACTTCTTCGTGAGCAGGTCGCAAAACTCGGCCTCCACCCCCACCGACTGCACGAGGAACTTGTCGTTTGAAAGCTGACGCTCCGCCTGGTCCAAACGAAGCAGTTCATCGCAGTCCTTTTGCTGCAAAATCACAAGCACCGTCGCGGAGCTGTTGGGTCCGATCACACCCTGGTTTGGGCGCACGAGGTATCGCATCGGACGGGTCGTCTTCACCTTGAACGCAACGTTCTCGACACTGCTGGGATTGGAGATCGTCAGGGCTGCCTGTGGAGTGCTGTTGGTCGAAAGGGAAAACGACAGCGAGTCCGCGGGCTCCAGCGTGATCAAGTGGCCGGCACCTGACGAGTTCATCCTTCACTGTCCCTCCTTTGTCACTGAGGGGAGCCGTTTTCGAAACAATTTTTCACGAGTTGGTCCCATTAAAAAAACGTTTTTTACCCCGTTTGCCGTAAAAACACTGGAAATGCCGAAATAACCAATCGGACATCCTAATTAGGGTTTGACTGGGTGAATGTATACTGTAGCTGCGATCGTACTTATTCGGACAATACTTAGTGCCCAGTTTGACAATCGAAGATGGACGACACGGTGCATTGCGTAAACTGCGGCGGATGGGGCTTGGACCTGGTGACCAACATCGAAAAGCTATGCCTCCATTGCGCCAGGTAATGGCCTAGTGACGGCGTGACGGCGTGGTGTGGCTCATGGACGTCAATGATGCAGGGAAACCAAGGCGTTCTTCGACCCTGCGACCAGCTCGTTTTGTGCCGACGGATACGTGGACATCTCACCTAAAGCGGACGGGGGGGTGCTCAAGAAGGTTGGAAAAGCTGCTTGTGGACTGTGTGCATTGACCGTTCGTTTAGATCATCAAAGAAGGGGACTCGAACGGCAAGTTCATCGAAGAAGGATGCCCCACCTTCATTCAGTACATTGGTCGACTGGACGATGGCTCTATTTTCGACACAACGTACAAGTTCTCATTACTTCCATCCTTCGTGACATGATGAATGCAGGCGCGATGTGGTCGACGGCAAACATGCGGGGGGTACCGACGACGCCTTCGAATTCCACGTCGGCCGAGGTATGCTGTGCCGCCCAAGGCGTATGTACGTACACTGACATCGCGTCCTTAGGCAAAGTCATTTTGGGCTTGGACGTTGCGCTCTTGACGATGAACCTTGGCGAAGTCGCGCGATTTATCATTAAGCCCGAGTATGGCTACGGGGTCCTAGGCCTGGCGCCCAAGGTCGAGCCCAACGAGACTTTGGATTACGAGATCGAACTCGTTAGCTTTGGCGTACGCTATATACAACACTGCGAAGCCTCACCTCATTGAATATGTGTAGAAACCATTGCCTAAATTCCCATCGCAAGCCGAATTGGCCGAATCTCGCAAGCGCCAAGCTGAAGAAGATCGAAAAATGCTAGAGGACAACCCTCCGGCGACCGTGGGTAATATATATATATATATATACATTAGTCAGTGAATATTTGAATTGCTGACTCATAATAACGAAATGTAGACGAACGCCTGCATAGCTCGAACGAGCAAAAGGAGGAAGGCAATGTACTTGTGAAGAAAGGAGACTATGAAGGAGCTCAAAAGTGCTACGATACGGTACACTGAATCACGTGGAATCCTATCTATAGAATATATATATATGTTTTGTAGGCGTTTGTGCATATCTTTTACGGCAAAGACGAATGGGAAGTGCTCGTGTCCGCTGAAGATAAAATTCGAATCAACAACCACAAGGTGCCTTTGTATCTGAACCGAGCGCTGTGCAAAATCAAGTTGAACAAGTGGGCCGACGCCGAGTGGGACTGCGATAAGGTATATGCTCTGCTACATTTCGTGACAATTTTTGCTAAGTTTGAGGACATTTGGCAAAGTATGGAGGACATTTGGATCAATTCGTGGCCATTGGATAGGCGATCGAGATCAACAACACCCTGCCCAAGGCCCATTTCCGTCGGAGTTTAGTATTTTTGGGGAAACTGAATGACGAGTTGGCCAAGGAAGACCGCAAGGAGTTTTGGGTCATTGACAAAGCCACCAAGTTCTTAGTCGAAGCCGAAACCAGTTTACAACGGGCCGTGGCGCTGACGGAAGGCGTGGACGACGCGCAGATTGTCAAGACACAGATCGACCTCAAGCGAGCCAAGGTTCGTTGCCCTCGATTACATAGTATGTGATATATGACACGGACACCTGTGCCTTAGTTGACCCTTCAAAAGTACATTAAAAACTACCACGAAGCTGAAAAGAAGCTGTACAAGGACAACATCATGGATCGGTTGGTAGCCGACAACAAGAAGAAGCAAGCGTCGGAACTCCAGCACGAGTTGGAGCACGCGTTCGAGGACATGCCGTCGCTCGAGTAACGACTCGCCCAGTGTTAATAAACAGACGTGTCTAGTCGAGCTAGGTAGTCGGCTGTGTTGATCGCACTCGTAAAATCGCATGGTCCTGTGAGGACGATAACCACTTGCATGGGCGGCCGAATGCTCAGCATCACGACCACGTCGTTCTACACACAAAAGACCAGCTAGGAAATCAAAATCGTTGATAAAAATAGACTAAGGAGGAGCTTACTGTCATCGATAGCATGTGATCTTGGAGAGTTAAAGGGTTTGCACTCGTGAGCTCGGCGCCGCGGCGGACACCATGGCCCAGCAGCATGTAGATGTGTTGTTGGGTGCGCCGACCAGCGGAGTCCCCCCGTGATGAGGATGTACACGCTTGGATAGCTACCAAGGCGGTGCATCGCGTCGACGGCTGGAGTCGAAAGAGGCAGTACCTGGTATGTTGTTTTCAGAAGGAACAGTAGGTTTGGATTCGAACCGCACCCGAGGAGGGATGGACACAAGTCGCGAATGGCGGGCGATAGAAACCAAGGCGATGGCAACAGCATGGGATGAGGCCACTGATCGAGTCGTCGTTGCACGTCGGCTGTCGAGACCTTGAGCTCGTTGTTGGTTACACCAAACCACACGAGACGCTTCATGTTTGATGGGATATCTACGACTGTCATGTGATGCATTTCCTACAATTGGGATCAACAAGAATATACTCCGATGCAAATGGCCAACGTACGGCGTTGATATACACGGGAAACTGCATCGCAGATTTTGGTGGCTGCTCAAGAATGAGCTCCGCCGCGACTACCAAGA